TCTGTAACCTTAATAAATGCTTTTAGGTTAATAAAATGCCTGAAAGTTCTTTTAAGTGTTTCGTTAATCAGACACATGACAGTATGTATATGTTGTATATAGTATGTTTAGAGGTGTGTCATGTATGTGTTCACTTTGAGAGCGGGCAACTACATTTCATTTTTGATGTGTGTCATCGTGCCCACAGTAAAAAATGACAGTAAAGGTTATCTTATCAATAAAGGTTATCTTATCTTATCTTATCTAGAAGCACTCACCAGTGGTAACAGTCTGGGATAAAAGAAAACGTGCGTTTCTGCAACATCCATAGCACTGATTAGCTGGCGGATGTAGGACCGATCATCAGTGGTGACCTCAGACCCGGGCTGGAGCACATCACTTTTCAAAACACAGTTCAAATACACAGGGAGAAGTTTCATGCATTCAGGAAGGATCAGCTAAAAGTGACAAGAAATTTAAAAAAAAAAAAAATCACGGGGCAGGAAAAGGACAGTATATTACTTTTGGTTTTGTACAAAATTCATCCACGCCACTCATTTTGGCTTCGATGAAAAACACACACACACACTATAGCTAATATTCAATTCAATTCTAGCCTTGCAATTTATCAAAGACTGCAGCTATCTCATAAGTCTGTATTTAGATACAGGAAGCCCTTGACTTATAACCCTCCGTTTAGCGACCCTTCGAAGTTACAACGGCACCGGAAAAAAGTGACTTATGGCACCTTTTCACCTTTACGATCATTGCAACATCCTCAGGGTCATGTGATCAAAATTCGGTGCTTGGCAACTGGTTCATATTTATGACAGTTGCAGGTTGTCCCAGGCTCATGGGATCAACTTTTTGTGACCTTTTGACAAGCAAAGTCAATGGGGGAGGCCAGATTTGCTTAACAACTGTGTCATTAACTTAATAACTGCAGTGATTCACTTAACAACTGTGGCAAGAAAGGTCATAAAATGAGGCAAAATTCGCTTAACCAACTGTCTTGCTTAGCAACATAAAATCTGGGCTCCTTTGGGGTTGTAAGTTGAAGACTACCTGTACTTGCAGCTGTTACAATAAGCACCTGTTTAGTTTTGGGGAACACAAAAATTTCTGCTGAAAGAGCCCAAAATGAGAATCTATCTACATGGGTCCGAAATTAGGAATTGGGGGGAAAAAAACGATGGCACGGGAAATAATGTTCTCTAGCAAATATTATCCATCATTAATGTGGCCAACCTAATTCCTTTATTACAGCCTGTGCCCAGTTTTTTCCAATTAATATTTATTAGGGCTGAGCACAGATCCAGATTCAAAGGACAACACGTGATTCTGAGGACTTGCAGATATAGCGCCTGTTGGAGTCACATTACGTCGTATTTTCCTAGGATTGCAGGAGAGTAATGGAGGGCTGCTACTACGGCCTCAGAAAAGACGCATCTTCTTTGAGGTGTTTCTGAGAGATGCTAAACATGCTCTTTATTGCCATTATGAGTGATTAGCAATGTACTACAAAGTGGTATGAAAACTAATTAATTCCTTTGGGATAATGGATTTGCCCATTATTTTTTTTAGTAATTATGATATCGGGGTTGGTAGGAGGATTGAAGATTTTATACAGCAGTAGAACCAGCTGAGTTGCCTTGAAATCCACCCACTTCTCTATTTCTTTTACAAGATGGTTGGGGAGGGTTTTTGGTTGTTGTTGTTTTTTGGCTAGGTGTTGTTACCAAGCGATTGCCACTAGGTGAGTAGCTTACAATCCTATTATAAATTAACAGTTTTTGAGACGCTCAAAAACTATAAACAAGCAAAGTAAAACAAAGATAATAGTAATAATCTAATAAGGAGCATTACTATCCACAGATAATCCAAATCTACACAACAGGAAATGTATGCTTCGGGTATTTCAGAATTGCTGTTTTCTGCAATTTAATGGTGAGTGGGCTGTGCAAAACGAACAGGTAGTGGCTGCAAATCGTGTTTTATTAAAGCCCACCCATGCATGAACAGTTTTCCAAATATTTCCATAACTGAGAATCTGTGTGGTGTAAGGATTAAAATATTAGACTGGCTCTGAAAAGACCTTCACCTGGGGCCAATCATTCAGCCCAACCCACCACCAGTGTTAGAGTGCCAGGCAAAAACAAAAAACCATCAGATCCACATGTAGAAGTTGCAAATTACTGCTTTTTCCGAATATACACAGGAATTTTCTCAAGACTCAGCACCAGGGTAAGCTGGATAAGGTTTAAATGCATTCCAGGGTGGGTTGACTTTGTCTTCTTGTAGTTGCTAGGGTCTCTAAGCTAATCCTTCATTTAACTCCTCCCCCTGGCTCTGCTGCTCTCTTCCCTACGTAAGAGTTAGGGTTAGTTGAAAAAGTGGGGAAGGGAATACTGTTTATCCTACCTTCAGCTTCTGTAGGAAAAATGGGATATAACAATCAAATGCAATATGATATGAATACCGTCCAAAGTGTTTGTATGTACCATTGCAGAATGGACTTTTTGATGATTAAATAATGTATTCAGGTAGTCCTCAGCTGACAACTTAGTGACCGTTTGAAATTCTGACAGATCGCCCCAAAGTTACTTATGACCTGGATTTGAAGTTTCAATGGCTAACCCCCTCCCCCCATGATAACACGCTTGCATTTTGGGGTGCTCAGCAACTTGTCCGCATTTACGGCTGTTTGCCGTGTCCTACGGTCACTTGATCGTGATTTTTTACCCTTTTTTTTGCCAAAAACTGGCCATTTATTTTTGGTTTCTGGCAAAATAAAACCCGTTGTAGATTTGCTTAAAAACCGCCATGTTTTCTTAACGATGGGCTTTTGCTTAATGACCATGGTGATTCAGTTAATCATTTTCACAAAAAAAGATTATAAAATTAGGTGCAATCGTGTGATGAACTGCTTAGGAATTGACATGGCTTAGGACCAATCTCAGTGTCCTGATTCAGGATTATTATTATTATTATTATTATTATTATTATTATTATTATTATTATTATTATTATTATTATTATTACTACTACTACTACTACTACTACTACTACTACTACTACTACATCATCGCATTTCAGGAGTTACCTGTCCAGCAGAAGAAGGGCTAGCACAGTTTTTCCGATAGCATGCTAAGATCTGGGCACACTGACTGATCAGTGTATCTCTCACAGTCTTGACTGGATTGTTCAGTACTCCACGATATGCTTCAGGAAAAAAAAAAGTCCCCGATTAGAAAAACATTTAGGTAAGCTATTCATCTGTTAAAGGAAAATATGAACAGTCACTGGATATGAAATAGGTAGCAAATAAATTTCTTGATGCGGGGGAAGAAGGAGAGTGCAAAAGTTGGCTCGAAACTCAACATTAAGAAAACCAAGATCATGGCATCCGGCCCTCTCAATTCCTGGCAAACAGATGGGGAAGAAATGGAGGCAGTGACAGATTTTATCTTCCTGGGCTCCAAGATCACCGCAGATGGGGACTGCAGCCAAGAAATTAAAAGACGCTTGCTCCTGGGGAGGAAAGCTATGGCAAATCTAGACAGCATACTAAAAAGCAGAGACATCACCCTGCCAACAAAAGTGCGTATAGTCAAGGCCATGGTTTTCCCAGTTGCAATGTATGGCTGTGAAAGTTGGACCATAA